TGATGTTCGCATTGATAACACAAAATTAAAGCCCCATGAATAAGTCTCTTATAACACCACTGTGCAATGTGTATAAATCTTTTCTCTTCTTCAGTGCCAACCGTGCCACCAACATTAGGTGAAAAACCTGCTCACCTCACTTTATGACCTCATCAATAGGTCATTATGTGCTCAACATATGGACAGACTTGTCTACACCCTCTCTGGTCTAATAATAATAATAATACATCAGTGGAGGTAGAGAGAAAAAAAATAATATGGACCTACAGATGAGTAACGGATGAAAAACAGATTATGAATTGGGGTAAGATCAGTGATTAAAGGAAATAAAGAACCTCTATATAGAGCAAACTAGTATTTGATTCAATCAGAAATGTGTTTGGTGCAGTAGAAAAATGAGGAAAAGCAGACAACAAAATAAATTGTATGATAATTTTTTAATAAGTAAAATTACCTATATAAATTAAATGTTCTCTGATGGGATGGGCATAAAATAAGTGATGTATGTCCCATCTATTAAACCAGCCATGGAGTGTGGACCTTCTTTTAGGCTCTGTTCTCATAGTGCAAGTCCAAAATGGCGCGATTTTGAGTTCAACTTTGATGCAACTTAGTAGTGCAAGAACCTTTTCAAAGTCGCCAAAACTTTAAGTCACATAGATTGGAACGGGTGGCATTGGAATCATGGGCTGTGAATTGTCATGCGACTTTATGTGTCCAAAGTCGCATGACAAATCACACTAGTGGGAATGAAGCCTTATGAAATCCGTAAATATAATAAAACATTATAAAAAACATTATTATACCCTTGTCCTGTGTTCTTTTCCATTAGCCGAGTCAGTAAAAGAGATAATTGTATTGCTGAGCTGTATTTGCGCATGTAATGAAAATGGATTGTTTTCCCACACATTTTATATTTTGTGCTTCAGCTTTCATATCCTCTGTGTTTGGAACAAGCAGTGTAATTGCTCTCCAGGTTGCAGTAATTGTACTATTTAGCTGCATCCCATACTGGATTCTACACGAATTAGAAGCTTAATAAATGGCAGGCAACAGCAAAGTGTGAACTTTGTCCTATGGTCAGATAAATAAAGTGCTGAAGCATTGTTTAGAATTATTGCCAAATCTGTATCCCTCTGGATATACTCCTATTTTCATTCAGCTGCAAGTTTTCTTATATCAAGGTTTGTAAAAATGTAAGACTCATTTTCGAAAGGACAGGACATAAAGTGGTTGTAAACTTCAGACGTGAAATATGAACAAAGCATATCCCTTTATAGTGTGTTCTTGTCTCAATCCAGAGCACTAATTGTAATTTCTGTCTGCTGCTTCCTCCCTCTGGTAAATGCATGAATCACTTCTGACAGGTTTTCCTGACACCAAGAGGCAAAAGGGTGGCAGGGGAGGGAGCTCTAGCACACAGCCTGTAACTGACAACAAATAACCAGCAAACACAAATGCTCCTGCGCTTGGGGATGGACTCGATGCAGGCTACAACCACATTAAGAATGTCCTGGAACATGCACACCTTGCTGCCCTCAAATGGACCGGGGGAATCCAAATATACTGAATGGGGAAAGAACAAAGAGAGGGCGCACAGGCTTAGTGCATTACCATAAAATATGTTTAATAAAAAATAAATAAAGTAGGTGTTGTACTCACAAACGACAATATAGTCAAGGCACATCATAAAAGAACAGCTGGGTCAACACTGCGCTGAGTAACAGTCCGCAATAGGGAGTTTAGACATCCAAAAGGCTGACACGTTTCGAGGACTTGCCTCTTCCTCACCGCGCTGAGTAACAGTCCGCAATAGGAAGTTTAGACATCCAAAATCTGACGCGTTTCGAGGACTTGCCTCTTCCTCAGAGCCTGAGGAAGAGGCAAGTCCTCGAAACGCGTCAGCCTTTTGGATGTCTAAACTCCCTATTGCGGACTGTTACTCAGCGCGGTGTTGACCCAGCTGTTCTTTTATGATGTGCCTTGACTATATTGTCGTTTGTGAGTACAACACCTACTTTATTTTTTATTAAACATTTTTTATGGTAATGCACTAGGCCTGTGTGCCCTCTCTTTGTTATTTCCCCATTTTGTAACTGACAACCTCAGCTCTGTTCCTGTGTGCTGTATGAAGGAGAGTGTGTCCCTTCCCTCCAGCTCTCACCAAGCTCTGCAGAATGTAACTACAGCTCCCTGCCCCCTGCTTTCTGTAAGCTCAATGACAATGGATAAATTCTGAACTTTGAAAGGATGAAGAGGAGAGGTGGCTGCAGAAAATGAGGTATAACTTATGTGGATGGATTTATTTAATCTCTGTCTATCGCCTGAGGTCAGTCACTTCACTGGTTATATGCAAGGGTTTACAACAACCACTTTAACCTCTTCACGCTGACGTCACACAAATATGCGGCCTCACAGAACTGGGCTTTTTTCCATGGGGCCGCCTATTTGCATACCTGTCTTTATGCTGGGAGTGTGCCGCACAGCGTGCTCCCAGCACAGAGACCGCTGTGTCACTGAGAGCCCCGGGTCCCGTTCTAATGATTGGGACCCGGAAATCCTGATTCTGGGTCACATGATCGCTATAATAGCCTCTGATTGGCTATCACAGTGATCAGTCACTGCTCAGCCTGCCCCCCTCCCTGTTTTTTTTTTTCTCTCTCTGAATGGAGGCGGGAGATACATTGAATCTCTCTCTCTCTCTCTCTCTCTCTCTCTCTCTCTCTCTCTCTCTCTCTCTCTCTCTCTCTCTCTCTCTCTCCTTGTATAAAGAAAAACAAAACAACAACCGTTTGTTAAAAAAAAGGATAAATAAATATTAAAAAAAATAAAAGAAAAAATAAAGAAAAAACAACTAGATCAAGGTTTGATCTAGTTCAATGCCAGGGTTAGTATTTGGGGTCAAAGGTCAGGATTTTATTTCTTTATTTATTTTAAATTGGCATCCGTGTCATTTAGTGTCAGTGTGCTTTAGGTAAAAAAAACAAAATGCGCACTATTGTTTCTGGGCTGCAGTACAGGTACAAACAACAAATAACATACACATACATTTGTGTTCAAAATAATAGCAGCCAGACATCACTAACCTGATCAATCACTGTTTTTGGTAGAAATGATATTTCTACATGGCAAATAATTTACTAGCAGGTGTAGTAGAGTAATAGAAATCCAACAGAGCCAACAGTCATGACATGCATGCTGCTGATTCTGTGTAATTGAATCACTAATTGAAAGGGGCATGTTCAAAATAATAGCAGTGTGGAGTTCTATTAGTGAGGTCATTCATTCTTTGAAAAACAGGTGGCAATTATTGCCCTTATTTAAGGAAGGAAGGCAGCAAATGCTGTACATGCTGGTTACAGTGCATTTCTCTCTGAAATTCTGAGGAAAATGGGTCGTTCCAGACATTGTTCAGAAGAACAGCGTACCTTGATTAAAAAGTTGATTGGAGAGGGGAAAACATATAAAGAAGTGCATAAAATGATAGGCTGCTCAGCTAAAAACATTGCAAATGCTTTAAAATGGCAACCAAAACCTGAAAGACATGAAAGAAAGCGAAAAACTGCCATTCGAATGGATAGAAGAATAGCCAAAATGGCAAGGTTACAATTTGCCAAAGAGCACATTGACTGGCCTAAAGAGAAATGGCGCAACATTTTGTGGACTGATGAAAGTAAGATTGTTCTTTTTGGGTCTAGTGGCCGGAGACAGTTTGTCAGATGACCCCCAAACACTGAATTCAAGCCACAGTACACTGAAGACAGTGAAGCATGGTTGCGCAAGCATCATGATATGGGGATGTTTCTCATACTACGGTTTTGGGCCTATTTATCGCATACCAGGGATCATGGATCAGTTTGAATACATCAGAATACTTGAAGAGGTCATGCTGCCTTATGCTGAAGAGGAAATGCCCTTGAAATGGGTGTTCCAACAAGACAACGACCCCAAACACACCAGTAAACGTGCAACATCTTGGTTCCAGACCAAGAAGATTGACGTTATGGAGTGGCCAGGCCAATCCCCGGATCTCAATCCAATAGAAAACTTGTGGGGTGACATCAAAAATGCAGTTTCTGAGGCAAAACCAAGAAATAGAGATGAACTGTGGAATGTGGTCCAATCATCCTGGGCTGGAATACCTGTTCACAGGTGCCAGAAGTTGGTTGACTCCATACAACACAGATGTACAGCAGTTCTCAGAAACAGTGCTTATACAACTAAATATTCATTAAGTGATTCAAAGGAAAGCAAAATCTTCAAACATTTTTCAGTTTATATAGTGAATGTTTGAGTTTGTAAAGAAGAATACAAACACTGCTATTTTTTTGAACAGTCTAAGATTCACTTTTCTTCAATTTTCTTAGAGGAACAACACAAATTTGATATATTTTTCTTCATGTTTTGATTTGGAATAGAATGTGTAGTGTTCCCAATGCAATTGTGTGTCTGGAAATAAAAGCTATTAGAATGATTTTGAGCTTTATTCACTTTTTTCACACACACTGCTATTATTTTGAACACAACTGTATACGGTATCACTGCGATCGTCAAGAGCTGGAAAATTTATGGGCGGTTATGGTAGTAACAAGAAACACACAGATGAATTTAAAAAAAAAATTTTTTTGTACTATTTTAGGCCAGTTTTCCTTTTGGTAATAAAAAAAAATCAGGAAATATCCATTACCATTTACAACCAAATGAAAGCCCAATTTGCCCTGAAAAAACAAGGTATAATTCACCTGGATGTTAAAAGTAGTTGTGATGATATATACGGTTTTACTAACACGTCAAGGTTCCAAAATTGTGCTTAAAGATTTGTTTTACCCTTAGGCATGAAGGGGTTAATGTTCTACAACTAGCAATGCTCAAAGCTGTTGGCTCTGTGTGCTGCAGTATTAAAGTGTTACTAAACCCACAACAGTAAATTCAGTCTGTATATGCAGTAAAGCATGCTTGTTATACTCACTTTGGTTAATCCTCTGCATTGTGTAAAAAGGATGTTTGATCCTAACTTCTCTGATCCTCCCCTTCTTCCAATGTCTTCCTCTTATCTCCAGAGAAGACATATTATGTAGAGACACTGCACATGCTCAGTTTGGTGTGTATTGCTAGAGATGTTTTTTTTTCTTGGGAGAGTGCATGTGATCAGCACAAGGCCAATCAGCACTGTCCAGACAGAGGTCAAAGGTTCTGCATCCTCCTAGAGAATACTCCTCCAATAAGCTTTAACTAGTGCTCTGCTGGACATTGATAGAAGTCACAAGACTGCTCTAACTGGTGATGAGAAAAGGTATTTAGCAGTTTATTTTTACTAAAATAATAGCATTTCCATGTTCTGTGTACTGTGGGAGACCAGATATAGTGAATGCAGGGTCCTGGGTTTAGTAACACTTTAAGTGACCCCGTGTAATTGTTGTTTGTTCTAGCTAGCTGGAAAGTGTGTTGTGAAAATTGTTTTTTTGTGTGTTCTGTATAAGGCCTAATTTCATTTACATGGCTGCTGATACCATAGTCCATGAAAAGGCCATGTGTTTATTTGGTTTGATCCTCCAGGTGCTGCATGCAGACAGCCCATGTAAGTGTATGGGGACTCAAATTCTAAACCCAATTTGACAGATGAGCAGTCCCAAATCGGGCCACTCACCTGTACACCTGTCAAATCAGGATAAGAGGTTGAGTCCTACTACATAGGTTGCCTGCATGCAGAACCTGGTTGCTGAAGCTGCACAGACACATGCCCCAGTCTCGGAGCATACATTTTTGTTTTATATGCTCACCTTATGTAATTGGATCCAAATATAAATCAAGGTCATATAGGCATATATCCTCATATACAAGCGGATGTCTCATCCATTCCACTTCCGTCTTCCGCTCCTCCTCCTGCCGCAACTCCACTCTCACAGATACAGTACAAGTACATGTGAACAAAAAAAATAAAAAAATTGTGCTCTCTGTGCAGAAGTTAACGAAAATAAAATAACAAAGAAATGCAGTCACATTACTGTAATATAAGTATGCCAACATATAATCCACTATGTGTATCCTAAATCATTCATGCCGTATGTATGACTCCTCAGTGCACACTGGCTGCTCACCGAAAATGGACCTCGGTGTGCACATCAGGGTCATAAGAGCAAATATTACTCCCTCCAGCACATCTCCTTCACGTCACTTTGATACTCCCTTCTCTCGCAGCACGGCACTCACAGACCAGGCTACATGTAAACACAAGAATAGGAAAATTTTTTGCTTAAAAGCACATTTTATTAAAACCTATAGTAAACCACTCACATTAAGAAAGCCCCCAGAGTGCTAAGATATGCACTATACAAAAATCATGTCAGCAAAAAATCAATTCACAGCTTATCAAGGAAAAACACCAGGTTCATGTGCATCCTACAAACACTTGCAGCGTGGCTCCGCCCCTATACGCGTTACGCCCCCTGAGTTTCTTCAGTAGGCCTAGGTAGATATAGAAGCTTTGTGATCAATAATATATCATTACATGTATTTTTTAAATGGGTGGCACAGTGGCTTAGTGGTTAGCACGTCTGCCTTGCAGTAAATGGGTCATGGGTTCTATTCCTGACCATGGTGCCTTCTGCATGAAGTTTGCATGTTCTCCCTGTGCTTGCGTGGGTTTCCTCCCATACTCCAAAGACATGCTGGTAGGTTAATTGAATCCTGTCTAAATTGGCCCTAATATGTGTGTGTATGTATGAATGTGAGTTAGGGACCTTAGATTGTACACCCCTTGAGGGTTAGGGACTGATGTGAATGTACAATATATATATGTGTAAAAGCGCTGTGTAAATTGACAGCGCTATATAAGTACCTGAAATAAATAAATGCAAGCAGTGTACATGTCTGAATTTGACCTATTATTGATCCCTTTACTGCAGGGTAGGAGTCTGAGAGGAAGAAGCAGCACAAGGAGCCAGATAATTCATTTGTAGACAAGAAGCATGTTGATAGGAAGAGAAAGTAGAGTGACAGAGAGCTGAGTTACAATATTTATTTGTGATCTGATACACAAGGTGATGTACCAATATACCTCAATATACAGTATATACACAACAAACTGAAAATACCCATGGGACTTTTCAAAAAGTACATCACCATTCAAACAATAATTTCCACATAGTTAAAAATCATTTTGCATTTTTATTAGTACAAAGTAATTAAAATGTTTTTAATGAAAAACACAAGGCTGATTTAATACACTCTTGGTATTTCTCACAATATGGCCTTGTACATCAAAAGATCATATAACATTGTATAGGTAGTATTTAAACCTAGTATTATTTCCACCGGGTTGGCCAGAGAGATATCCTCACACAGTTCTACCCGGTGGAACAATATTTCACATTCCTTAGCGCATTTTGTGAATTTGAATTCACTTCATCAGTAAAAGATGCTAGTGACAAGGTATAAATCAGTCCAAAATAAAAGTCCCCAAGAAGAAAAACACCAAGGTGGTCTACCCCAGGAACTGTGGGGGGCTGGGACCCCAAAACAGGGAGGCAAGAGGGGGATTACAAGAGAACTAAGCCATGAAATCTGTATGTCGTAGTTCTTCCTTTTTAAACATCTGTTCAACATTTTCCTATAATGTGCTCTATTCTTCCTGGACATCCTCCAGAGCTCATCATTGTACTATGTCTTCTTTCACTGTTCAGTCATAGGTTGGTGTAGGTCAACTGGGGCTTAGAAGAAGTAGGTTGGATGATGCTGACCATCTGAGACCATCTGGGGCAGAAAAGAGCACTGGAATGAAAATGTCCCAATTGAGGTCAGACATTTTTTTCCCTACTATTGGAAGGCAACATTGTTCTTCAGACATTTATGGATTTTTACTGTCTGGTTATCAAAGGGCCATTTGCCCTGCATCTTGGAACACCAACTCAGTTGACACAACAGGGTGTTTATAACAAGGGGGTCACAAAGGGGAATTCATCTCCCAAAGGACGTTCTCACATTGGCCCCCCGATGTGATGTTTGGGGGTAGAGGAGCGTCAGCCCAAACCTCCTGGTGATGTGATAAATCAAAATGACCAATTTCCTGACTTCTAACAACATCTCAGTTGGCCACATGTGAGTTATGATTCTGACCTGGGTCAAGAAGATTCATGGCAATATAGCAGTGCCCCCTGGTGAAGACAATTACATAATTCCTAGAGGATTCAGGGTAGCACATTACTTCCTGACAGCCCCTTATAATTTACGGATGGAAATTCATTGGAGAGAGGGCTATATAGGTCGATGGTACAATTGCCACCTCATCCCTTTAAAACCGTACACATAATAACTACACAGCTTCTGTGGTTGATTGACGTAGTAATTAAGCTCACTTAGTGTCTTACCTGCAATAAATTAGCCTCAAAACCTGTGTAATTAATGTATGTTCGGTTTTAAAGGGATGAGGTGGCAACCCTACTGGAGGATGCTGAATAGTGTTGCTTGTGAGTGGTATAAATGTAAGTTCCAGCCATGGCCTCCTCCCTCTTTCTACCCAGAGCCCAGCCAAAGGATGCTCAACATTGAGGATGAACTAATGTAACGTATCAGCTCTGCTCTTTTGTTTCTACAGGTGAAACTCGAAAAATTAGAATATCGTGCAAAAGTTAATTTATTTCAGTAATGCAACTTAAAAGGTGAAACTAATATATGAGATAGACTCATTACATGCAAAGCAAGATAGTTCAAGCCGTGATTTGTCATAATTGTGATGGCTAGAGATGAGCGAATCGAACATGACGAAGTGGAATTCGTTCCGAAGATTTGGAAAAATTCTATTCGCGACGAATCCGAAGATTAGCAAACTTCGGATGCACGAATCGAATTTTTCCCAAAAATGGCGGCGACATGTGTGGCGACAGGAGAAAATGGACAGAGAAGATGGGGCGGGGATCTCTGGGAAGGCGCGCAGACAAGGCGCGCTGACCCATAATGCATTCATGAGTCATGAATCATGACATGTGATCGCATTAGCCAATCAGCAGCCAGCCAGCACTGTGTAATGGTGGAGCTATATATCGCGGCCATCTTAGAATTCTCCATTAGCCCTCCGGTCATTCAAGAGAGACAGACCTGTCTGTATTAAGGGACAGAGTTAGGGCCACAGAGACTTTAGGGCCACAGAATCGTTACTCAGGGACACAGAATCGTTACTCAGGGACACAGAATCGTTACTCAGGGACACAGAATTGTTACTCAGGGACACAGAATTGTTACTCAGGGACACAGATTCGTTACTCAGGGACACAGAATCGTTACTCAGGGACACAGAATCGTTAATCAGGGACACAGAATCGTTACTCAGGGACACAGAATCGTTACTCAGGGACACAGAATCGTTACTCAGGGACACTGAATCGTTACTCAGGGACACACACACAATCGTTACTCAGGGACACACAATCGTTACTCAGGGACACAATCGTTACTCAGGGACACAGAATCGTTACTCAGGGACACAGAATCGTTACTCAGGGACACAATCGTTACTCAGGGACACAATCGTTACTCAGGGACACAGAATCGTTACTCAGGGACACAGAATCGTTACTCAGGGACACAGAATTGTTACTCAGGGACACAGAATTGTTACTCAGGGACACAGAATCGTTACTCAGGGCCCACAGCTATCAAAGAATCGAAAATTTAAAGTGACATACACCCCTTTTTTTTTTTGGTGGCTGTCGTGCACAGTTGGTGCTGCAGTTTGTCGATTGTGCAAAATAAACTGACTTTCTGCTTCACAACCACTATTGTACGTTCAAAGAGTTAAATCCATTTACACGCGGCTGGCGGTAATATTTTTTGGGTGATTAGTGCATTCCAGTGACACAAACGTACAGTTTCCAGCCAACGGCAAGCTGCAATTGACCGATTGTGTACAATAAACTGACTTTCTGCCTCACAACCACTATTGTACGTTCAAAGAGTTAAATCCATTTACACGCCGGCTGGCGGTAATATTTTTTGGGTGATTAGTGCATTCCAGTGACACAAACGTACAGTTTCCAGCCAACGGCAAGCTGCAATTGACCGATTGTGCTAAATAAACTGACTTTCTGCTTCACAACCACTATTGTACG